TGCCTCTCCAACCAGTGCTGGACATGGGACTCCACAGACGGCCCCTTTCAATTTAGTGCAATCTTAATCATTTGTTGCATAATTTGACTTTATTTGCTCGTTTCCTGTGCAGGGACACTGCGTTTGTATCAGTACCGTGTCTTCGCATGTTGCTGCCCTTTCCTCTTGTTGAAGTGCCACAGCGATACATGTGTTTAATGAAATAATGGGTCCCCTGTTCCTCAGCGATTTCCATGGTAACGGCCTACACACATGCCTACATCCACCCTAAGACTAATATGGAGGTGTCAGAAATGTAATATACATATCCAACTCTGAGGCGAGCGCAACAGGATTGTGGCTTTATAACAATGCCAATTAAACGCTAAGCTGACAGGAGCCCTCTGATTGCAGAAGGGAGATATTTTGTCTTGGGATCCCAGCATTTTTACTGACGCTCACACCTGGACTGTAGTGTTCAGAGCTGCAGAGGATGTTAGCTTGGGCGGTTTCTCCTGGATTAATGCTGTCTGAGGGGGAAGGAGTGGGTGGTGGTGGGGGGGCAAGGAAAGGCTCAATTCTGTAAAGAGTTTCTTTGTCATCGTTTTTTTAAAGGCCTGTTGTTTGTCCACGGTGACAATGGGGAGGGGTGTTGCCCACTGGGTGGGTGTGTGTGTAAGTGAGGTAAGGAGGTGGCTGTGTCTCTCTGTAAGAGTGGGAGCGAGCGGAGGAGGGGGTCTGTGAAGGAGACCCTCACTGCCACGTGCTTCCCGGCTCACCTGCACCTCCAGCCCTCTCTGAGCTGCACAGAGGAGCCGGCAGCTGTGCTCCGTCCCGGGCGGCACCTTAGACAGCTGAGCGCTCGCCACCGGCCTCCCTCCCTTTTCACAGCACCCAAGCGACTGGGGAGCACCTCACTCGTCCTTTTCAGGACTCCTCTCGTTCCTCTGGCACTGAGCCCTTCATCAGAATCATCACAGCACTTTTACTGGGAACAGACAAAATATTTCTTTCCACATGCTGCACTAACCGGCTCTGCTATTCTTTGTCCTAAAATTGGCTTATAATTCTTGTTATGTTCACGCATGAAGTGCACGTTTCAGTGTCTAAAAGGCATCAGATACTAGGTGGCCTGTGATTTATACGGTACAGAGCGCCGCTTATATGAAGTGGTATATGCTCTCCCTCAGTTTGTGGGTTTCCTCCAGGTGCTCCGGTTTCCTCCCATAGTCCAAAAACCTACCAAAAGGTTCACTGGCATCTGGAGAAACTGGCCCTGGTGTGAGTGAGTGTGTGTTTGTGTCCTGTGTGCCTGTCCAGAGTTTGTCCAGCCTTGTGCCCACTCCTTGCCAGCGTAGGCCCAGGCTGCCTTGTGACTCTGTGTTGGATGAAGCAATGTTGGTTAGCAAACAGATGGATTATATGAAGCATCTTGAGCCTTTTAATGTTTGTCAAATGAACGGAGGGTTTTTCTCCCTCTATAACTTGACCTCTAGCATCACTTCCTTTCCTGGATTTTAACCGGATTGGGTAGGTGAACGGGTGTGCAAGACAAGAAGACGAGTTTACAGGCCAACCGCAGAGGAGCAGCAGACTCTTGGAGCCGGAGGGGCGACAGATATTTAAAGCTCCCTGAAACCATGTTGCTGAAGAGTAAAGGTTTTCCAGGCAAAGCAAGCTTCAAAGAAGCTCCGACATCACCGAAACCACAATCCTTTCGGCTGAAGAAAACTGCTCAACACCAAACACACTTCCCTATCAGCTGCAGAAATACCCAGCTATTGATGTTAACGCTGAAAACCTCTCAGCGCATTCTTGGCTGATCGTATCATGTAGTCCACAAATTTTAAAGAGCAGGGTTCTGCACGACAATAAATTACGATCAGGAACCAGCGCTTCCTGAAAGGCGAAAAGCAGCTCAAATCACAGTAGCCTCACAGTTTAGACCTCTGTGAGACACTAGAACTCTGGGCTGTGTGGCAGGCCTGACCGTTTAGTGAACCTATTTTTTTTCAGCGCGTCCAGCACTGCGCAGATGGTTCCCGTGTGCTTTATCATCTTGCGGCGGCAGCAGAGCCAAGACTTCCAATCCACTGATCTACAAAGGATCATTACCACAGAAACAATGTACCCTCACCCAGACGCCAATCTGTTCCAAACCTGAGTTTATAGAAAAACTAGTCATGGATGACTCACCTACAGTAACCCTTGATCATGCTAAAGCTTTTGTGAAATGCTTCTCCTTGACATGCAAATTGGGCTTATTTTTATCCCACTCTGTCCTGTCGTGTTCTGATTTCAAGGGTTCTTCACTGTCCCTGCTCCTGCTCTGTCTTTAACCGGTATCCTCTCCTTCCCTGGGCTCATGGCGTCAGTGGTGGTGTCTCGCAGGGCCGGGCAGCCTCCACGCTCCTGTCAGAGCTTGAGATGGAAAACTCCGGGCCCAGACCCCTCCAGCTGCGCCCCGCAGCTGCCTGGTGTCCCAGCTGACAGGAGAAGATCTGGATGAAGACGTTCACTGGAAGTATCCCAAGCAGCAGGCCTGTGTGTTGTGGGGTCTCTGTGTGCGGGGGGCAGGGGGGACTTGCACCGGCTGAGGAGGTATCCAGATGTTATGTCTCCACACACCCCTCTCTCTGGCCTCTCGGAGAGCCAGACTCTTCCTTCTGTCTTACACAGGGCATGGCTGTCCTCCCCCCCCCCAGGAGAAGCACAAACCGCACTGCAGACGATGGAGGAAGGAGGAAGGGTGACCAGACGTGTGCAGGGGGCCGGAGAAGTGCTGCTCTTCTCCGGAGCTGGGAGTCCTGCAGGTCTCCTGACTCGGGACAGGTACTGCTTCCCCTTGGACAGAACTACACTGCCAGACCCGTCCAGCATTGTGTTTGTTTGTTTTTACAACATTAAACAGATGATTCATTTTTAAAAGGAAAGTTAAGAAGAAAAAAAAACTTGAAACTCGTACCCGAGTGTCAAAACACTAACGGGCTTAAAAGTTTAATTTCTTTCACACTGGAGGAGGCACAGACAAGGACACACAGTTACTTCAATTTCAGGTACAGCAAGCCCAGGAAAGGCCCTGCCTGCTATCATACAGACACGCCGACACTGCCACGGCAGTTAAAACCCACAAGCCCAGCTCTCTCAACAGGGGCGCCTCATAATTGCCAAGAACGACGAGCCCTGCCGATCATGCCTCTTCAGGGCTGGTTAAATGGGTAAGACTGCCTTCCCGTTATCTAGGCTTGCATATTTGAGCAAGGCCTAATCTAATTTAATGCAGCATCCAGTTAAACAGTTTCCATAGCAACCAAGCCACCCTGGCAAGAGTTGGTGATACAGTGAAGTGAGAAGACTGTGGAGTGCCTGACAGGTTTGTTCTAAGGTGTCTGCACCCACTGGCCCTCGCTAATTAGGAACATCGGCAAACGCACAGAGCTGTGTTTTTTTTAGTCCCGTTCAGTTTTAAACGCAGTGCTCAAACCCCCTAAACAGTTCGGCCACATAATGCTTAACAGCTACAGTTTCACCGCCAGGGTGTTGAGAACTAACGAGGGACGCGACGAACCTGAGATAAAACTTCGTGACTGATCTAATATTTAAACACGCAGTCGGACATGAAGGTATGAGCATCACCCATCTCCAATAGTGTCATTCACTACTTTGTTAGGAGCAGTAAATCCGACCTGTTAAATGATACTTATTTAAAAATGATTGCTTATACTTCTCCTGAACACCCATTCAATCCAGCAAGTTGCAAATGTACTAATTGCGCATTTAATTGCAGACACAGGGCGTGGTCACGTATTTCTTCTTACTTCCCTGTAGAGTCTTTTAATTGCACGAGGGGCACCTTGAAAAGATTTTCACAAAGCAATCCCTCCTTGTTTTTCTATGCCATCAGGAAAAGTTCATCTGTGTGTTGAATCTGTGTATCTCTGCCGGATACTACTGCTTTTCATTTGGAGGTAGATTATTTTTTGGAATCTGTGAAATCTTTCAACTTGCATTAATGTTAATATATCAAAGTTATGTGTTCTTTCTGGATTATAAACGTTATGTACGGCTTTGAAGAAAATACTCTTGAAGTGCATTACTCTTATAGCTAGTATATATCACGTCCATAGTGACATAAAATCCCAAACGAATAGTTTTGCTCTGTCATTTTCTAAAATATTCCTAGATATTCAAAGGTTTTTCTAAGAGGTATCCTAGAGGTCTTACACTGATCTGTTTGTTGATACTCTCTGAATGCACGATGTATTCGAAAAAACATTGTATGTACTACAGAATATCCAGCATGTGTTGGAAAACCCTGTGCCTGGAAATAAGAAGAAGATGTGGAATAAGAAATGGATGTGTTAGAGCACAAACAGGGGTCATGATATCAGGATCGGGGCGAAGACACTTGATGAGTGGACGGGGTCAGACACAGCAAGATGAACAGGTCATTGCTGAACCAATGTTGGACCAGGTAACTAGTGATCCATTTCCAGGTGACCTAAAGTGACCAAGACCTTCCGTAAAGTGACAAAAGGAGACCAATAATTATGACGGGGCAAGCTATACCAGCACAACAGCTTAGTTTGTAGAAGATCTTACGTGAAGCCCTTATCCATGTGTATATCGGCAAGGGATTATGGTCTATTTGTACAGTACAACAGTGAACAAATTAAATACAGCAGTGAATAAATTACAGTTCATAAAACCTTGTTTGATAAGGCCCCTGCAGTAGAAAAGAAAGAAACTCAAGCCGTTGGCACTGTGATATGTGAAAGCCCCTAACTGTACAGCAGCTAACTCGGGACTTTAACTCCGTGCCTGTCTCTTTAAACTCGACCACCAGCCTTCCTCCCGTCGCTGACGTCAGGGGGATGAGCGCAACCATCTTGGTATTTATTCTAATGACCGGGCGCCTGGCGTCCAATGGCGGCGCAGGTTCGGGCGGCTGCGGCCAATCGCGGCGCGGCGCTGTGACTCACCAAATAAGGAGAGCCGCCACCATAAAAGGAAACGTTGTATCTCTTTATATGGAGGAAAGTAGATCGCTACCTACGGTATCCGTCCACGGGGAGCGAGTTGAAATAAGCGAATTTAGCCGGTTCCCCCTCGGCGCCGGCGCCGTCTGAAAGCGAGTTAGGTGATCCGGAGGACGGGTAGGAGCGTCGGCTGCCATCCCGGGCGCGCTGGCGGGCTCCCCGGCAGTGTTTTAATGTGGGGACTACGTGACATGGCGGAGTGATGCGTAGGGCGTGATCCGCGTTTTCCTTTTGGAGAAAGTGCAGCGAGTTTTGGAAATAGAGGAGGTTGAGCTTGACTGAGCCGGGGGTGAGGGGTCTTATGGGGGGCAGCATCACTTCTGAAACTTAACTTCTCCCGTTATAAGGGGACGTCGGAGCCTTTCTGACTTTCCGGACCGCTGTTTTCTTTTTTTTTTTTTTCTTCTCCTCCTCTCCCTCCCTTCCCCCGTTGACCACCTCGCTGGCCGGTGTATGTGCTTTGCTGTAACAAGACGAGCACGCACGGGCCCCAGCGAGCGGCTGGCTTTCTTTAAAGACACCCCCGGGGGCAGCAGAGTATAATGTTACCGAGCCAGGCTGGGTCGGCACCAGCTGGAAACGGGTCGTCTGCGGGCCGGGGCAACACGGGTCACAGCTCGGGGGCGGCCGGGAGCGCGCTGCGCCCGGGTCTGGGCAGGACGGGGTTAATCGGAGTGGCGGCCGGGGTCAGCGGCAACGGCGGCGGGGTGGGACGGTCGGGGGACGGGGCAGGGATGCTGGGGGGCAACGGGGCAGGGGGAGGCTCCCGAGGAGGGTCCCGGCCGGGCAACGGGGCAGGGCTGGCCGGGCTGCAGGGGACTGGAGTAGGGGGCATCGGGGGAGTGACGCCCGCCGTCGGGATGCACGGGGCCGGGAGGTACGAGCCCGAGCGGGACAGCACGCCTCAGGTGTACAGCGGCTCGGACGCCGACTCGGACTCCGGGGATGACGACGACCCCCTGGGTCCGGCCGGGGACGGCAGGAGAGGGGTGAAGCGGGAGCGGGCGGAGATGGAAGCCGCCGGCGCCGGGCAGGAGACCGGCGTGCCGCCGGGGGCATACGGCGGGGTGTCCGCCGGGGTGGCCGGCGCGAAGCCGGGGAAGAAGACCAGGGGGCGAGTCAAGATCAAAATGGAGTTTATCGACAACAAGCTGAGGCGGTACACAACTTTCAGCAAGCGGAAGACGGGCATCATGAAGAAGGTGAGTAACGAGATTGCCCTGCCAAGTTCGCGGCCGGTGGAGGTGTCGGGGGAAGTTTTTTTTTTTTAACGAGTCCCGTCCTCTATCCCCCCACTCCCCCCCGATGCGAGGCCTCGCACTGTCCCCCCCCCGGGGCTGGAGAAGTTAACGGTTGGCGTATAAGTTGCTTTAAGCGACGATGCAGCGGCGGGCGACCCCGCGGCTTGAGAGCGGGGCGAGTCGAGAGATGGAGCCGGAACGCCGCCGCCGCAGCAGGGAGAGCGTCTGGTCCGGTGAACAAGTTCGTAAAACCTGGGAAAGGATGAGCTGCCCAGCGAGCACACCGTCGGAAACGGCACACCGGGTTGTCGAAGTCGTCGTCGTCGTCGTCGTCTGCTCCCAAGACCAGTTCTGTCAGCGCCCGGGCTCCGTCCGGCGTCATGTGTCGGTCGTGAGAAACTTCGCCAGTCCGTGTTTCAGCCCGTGTGTAGCCGCGGAGCCTGTTCTGTTGTGTCTGAGCTGTAAGAAGTGTACTTCACTTTTTTTTTTTTTACTTTCCGACTTTACCGCTTTCCCGGCCCTCTGGAAATCTGCAGACCTACCCTGCTGAGATATCTGTTGTGTTTTTGTTTTTCGCTTTCCAGAGAGACCACGCTCGTCCGCGCACACACACAGAAACATGGAGCAAGGGGGGGAGTTGTGGGCCTATCGGCAACAGCAGAAAATATCCCCAGAATCGGAGAGTGTCTCCACCTGAATTATTTTTATCCGTGTGCCGGGGGGTGGACGGTTGTCTTTTTCTCTCCGCCTCTGCCCAGTGAGAAATCAGAGCGCGGATTACACAACGCGGCCCGCCGTCTGGGGAGCCGCTCTCGCACTGCCGAGGTGTTTCTCGGGGGGGTGTCTCCTCCAGGGGGTTCGGGGGTGAGCCCGTCTCCCTGAGGGGGTACCGAGAGAGCGGGGGAGTAGGCGGCGGCGGCGGGGGGGGGGATGGAGAGACGAAGAGGAGAGCTGCCGCAGCGCGCGAGGCCGGGAGGTGGGGGGGGAAGCGAAACTGACACGGGCTCGCGCTGGAGTCGCCGCGAGGCTCCCGGCGGTGTTTACTAGTGACCGGGGGGGGGCGCCGCGCACGTGCGGACCTCCAGTCAGGGGAGAGGGGGGAGAGAGCGCCCCCCCCCCCCTCCTTCGCCGTAGGTGGAAACTACAGCGGACACGGTGGGCTCAGAACAAGAGGCAGGCGCTTTAAATAGAAAAGAGCAACTGGCAACCCCTGTGCCCACCCTCCCCTCCCTGTGGCCTGTGCCGGTGTTGGTGTCGGTAGTACCGAGCTGCTGGTCGGGTGTGTGCGCGACCCCAAGGGCTGAGGCTGGCGAAGCTAGAGCATCGCGGAAGTGTGTTTCCGTCACGGACGGTAGCGGACAGGTGGCATGGGCTGCGGTCTCGGTCCTTGTTCTCTGTGCTCTGGACCCGTTCCCACTATCGACAATGATCCCAGCTCCACAGCCTGCAACGGAGCTCTTTTCTGAAATGCGGTGTAATTATCTGTTAACAGTCGCTTTCCTGCGTGGTGTTTCTTCACCCTACGTCCCCTCAGCAGTTTGAAGAACATCTTGCCCGAGGGCCAGTGTGAGAGCACGGCGTGGCCCCTGTCCTGTCCCCACGCAGCTCCTGATCCGAGGGCCCGGCAGCACTCCCGCGGCCCAGCCCTGGTCTGAGACGGGAGTCCCTCCGGCCCTCTGGTTCTGCTGCACTTCCACATAGTCCTGCAGGGAAGAGCATTTCAATCTCAGACCAGCAGGCACTACGAGCTGATTCCCAAGAGACACTTTGCTGATGTTTAATTACATGTTGATTAATTCAATGTCACTATTGCCACCTGCCTTGACATATCATTCTGGTCGTTGCAAATGAATGTGGTGGCATCACAAGGAGGCTTACATACTGGATATATATAATACATGGCTGTGATGCGCTCTTGATCGATAGCGCTATATTTTTAACACCAAGCAAGACCTTATTTTCCGGTCGGGGGACTGGAGCTTCGCCCCTTGAGTTGTGGGGGTGATGGTGGTCCTGCAACGTGCTGAAAGCACCGGGGCGTGTAGGTTTTACGCAGATCAAAACTGTTTCATTTTTTTTAAATGATGCAAATCGCCGAGCAAGAAAGTGTGTCGAGATGATATCTTGTATCCTGTCGTTAGAAGTCACATATTTACAGTACCAATCAGGCTACCTGCATCTGTGTGCTCGTTTGAAAATCTGTCCTCCATATCAAGAATCTGCTGCACTTTCATGTGGCGCGGCGCATCGATTAATAACTTTTCCGAAGCGTCTGCTCCCGCGAACCGTGCGCACAGGGTGCTCTCTGACTGGAGTGTCGACTGACACGGGGCTGGGGGAAAAACCCCAGACGCACTGCCTCGGTTATTATTAGGAAAACATTTACTGCTTTGTTTAGATTCAACTTTCCATTGAAATGATGTTCAATCCAGAGGCTCCTAGTGCTTTATATAGATTCAAGTTTCCATTGACGCGAGTTTCAGCGCGAAGCCTCCTGGCTCTGCAGTGGCAGCGCTGGATCGACGGGGCTCTTTCGCTTTCTCTCTGGCTCAGCCGAGCTGCAGATGCGTTCCTTCTCCTTCGGCTCTGCCCTTGTCTTGGAGTAAGGCCTGCTTTGAATCTCGCCTTTTTTTTTTGCATTTAGTTGCATCCGGCTGTTGGTCTTGACGGGGGACCCAGTTGGATCGCCTCGCAGTCGGGCGGGCAGGGGAGGTCGGCCTTGCTGCCGGGAGACCGTTCTGCCCTCTTTCTCACGAATTGGGGTTCCGTTTAAAAAGCGTTTCTGGTTAAGAGTAAATCGACAGGTTGGAAGTCTGTAAGCCTTCAGACCAACCAGCAGCAGTGGGTTCTGCCCAGCGTGGTCCATCATAAACGAGCAGGGCAGCCCTCTCGGCATGTGTGGGCCTTGATTTCAACTGAGCGCTAGTGTCCGCGCTGCCTGTATCATTTCAGCTGAATCTTTCAGGATTTTCTTTACTGCAGCTGAGTTTATTTTTGTGTGTTCTCTCTAGATTCACAAATGCGTTACGCAGATACGGAAGCACGGTATCGGTTGGGACCGTTTGCCATACTGAGCGCTTGAAAGGTTACAGTGCGAGGTTAAGAGGGGGGGCTTTGGGTGAGAGGTGCTGGTGTTTAAGTGTGCGCAGACCGCAGCTGGAAACTGGGCTGTTTCAGTAGCGAGATGAAGTCTGAGAAAGAGGACGGTGGGCTGGAGATGCTGTCTCGCTGGGGAGCAGCGCTGGCAGGTTAGACCGGGACTGCTGTCGTGCAGCTGCGATAAGAAACTCCAGTCGTCTACTGGATGGGCTTTCTTTTCTTTTCTTTTTTTTGTCCCATCCGTCTCCTTGCAGAGCTTTATCCTCAGCGGAGCCAAGCCAGATTTCACAGGGTGTCAGGTGGAACTACACATCCTGGAAAGGATGCCTGTCTATTGCACCGATTGACACATATCAATCACTCTTAATTCCTTCACAACCGTTGGCCTGAGCTTTTAACAGAAATACGTGCATGCATAGCGGACCACTGGGCACTGAGGAGAGAACAGAACTCCCACAGGCAGTCGATTAACCTTTAGTAGTCTAAGGCCTAGTGGCTACTTTCCCTCTAGGTACTGAGTCTTGTGCCTCTACCAAAAACTCAGTTTGTAGGGTGTGGTGAGTCCTTAGGTGTTTTAATCTGGTTTAGAATTGTGGAAGCGAGTGTTTGAGGGTCTGGAGATCTCCCTCCCTCTTTTATCTAAGGCGTCCTGGTCACGTGGCACAGGTTCTCCGTGCCTGCTGTCGAGCTCCACATGGAAGGCTCCCCGGCCCTCGAGCCGTCGGACAGCGGCGCTAGTTCTTTGATTCTGATCGCTTCTCTGCTTTGTGTACTTCTACACACCAGGCAGGAGCTGTTTCCCACACTCGGTCTTGAGGTCTTTCGTGAATTTTCTTGGGACTAGTGCGTACAAGCTTTTCTTTTATTAATGTGGTCCGAAGATAACTATTTTTCAGTATTTAGAGCTCGTAGTCACTTTATAGACTGTATGAACAAGTAAAATGTCTTGGTTGTGCTATTACTAGTGTAATACATAGGTTTGTGGGATGAGGGCTCCAGGAGTGTCAGATTTTTTTTTCTTGCATGGCCCAGGGTGAGGCTAACCTAATGGCCCAGGATTGGGCTCTGGCCTAGCAGAGTGAACTTTGCATGGCTTTGAGTATGAAACGTTCTGTACTCTAGGATGTGGAAAAGTATTTTAGTTTTACTACTATTTATCTGATGTTATGCCTTTTGAAAATAAAATGTGAAATATATGTTGAAGGAATAATGCTTTCTCTTGAGCGGCTCCATGTAAAATACTTTTTGACGATTGTGTAGCTTGGGTTTCTTTCTTGTGTGCATTCCCATATGGCAAGAGTGGTTGTTTTAAAGCTTTCTCAGTTTTATGCAGAAAGGTGAAGGCATTTCATAATTCATAAGGCCTCTTAGCTTTTACGTTATAGTGGGTAAAGTGCGCTATACTATACTCTACATCTTCCACAGGGTCTGCCAGCTTCCACCAGTGTTGCAGGTTTCTCCTGTGTGAGACGCCTGCGCTTTAGCAAACTCTACCCCCACTTTTATGTGTCTACAGATACCGTGTTGTTTAAGCTGCACTGTGTGATCCTCCTAAGTTCAGAAGCATTAGTCTAGTAGTGATGAGTATGCCCTCTCCAGATTGAAAGACGAAGTCGGGTGGTTACTCAGTCATTTTTCTTGAGCTTTACTCCACTTCTTCTTGAGCACGGATGCGACAGCCCGGGGTTTCTGTTCTGAATCTGCAGGTTTGGCTGGTGCCACTCATCTGCCCTACTAGATTCTCAATGTCTGTGCAGTAATGTTCCAGCTCTTCACCCCTGAGTTTCATCAAATCGGATGTCTTCCAGCCTTTTCTTTTCCCTGTGGTAGAACGTGGTGGTATTCATCTGGTTAGCTTTGCC